ACACACTACTGGGGACCTGTCACCCTCCACAACTGCATGAGTCAAATAGCTACAATAAGTCGCACACACACACACACACACACACACACACACACACTACTGGGGACCTGTCACCCTCCACAACTGCATGAGTCAAATAGCTACAATAAGTCGCACACACACACACACACACACACACACACACACACTACTGGGGACCTGTCACCCTCCACAACTGCATGACTCAAATAGCTACAATAAGTCGCACACACACACACACACACACACTAGCTCTAAGAGGGAGGAAACTAGCTCTGGATTTACTTACCACTATATTCCCGGAATCTGGTAGAGTGCCTGACATACAGCATGACAAATAAAATCAATGAATACAGGGTTGCCATTTCAAGTACCTTCTAGCTGCAGGCCTGGAACAGTGTGAATTCAGGAGGAACAGCTGGTGACTTCCGTTGTCATTCACTGACTTCTGTGTGCCTGGCAGAGTGCTAGGCTCTGACACAGATGGCGACATTTATTCCTCAAGAACAACCAGCCCTATGAAGCTGTCTTTATTAATAATTTCTACTTTCAAATGAGGAGCCTGGGGTTCAGAGGGATTAAATAACTTTGTGCCTGAGGTCACAAGTCACTGAGTGTCACAACTGAGTTCTAATTCCAAAGCTTCTGCTCTAAATCATTCTATTTCTGGACTTCGTAAGGCTCTGTCCTTTCTCCATTTTGAGTTCAGAGTTCATCAAGACTTCCAGTCAATTTATTCCTTAATATCCAGAACTGTGTGGGTCTGCCTGACTCCAAAGCCCAGGCTGGTCTCCCCGTACTGGGCTGTAAGCACACTGCGGCTTCTCGTGCCACCCTGGCACCCTGTTGGGGCTGTCGGCTCATCGAGCCCCATTCCGCCTTTACTTACCAGAGAGGCCTGCCTCCCGAGACATGTCACCTCACACACAGCATGTCCCAGACTGAACCCCAGCCCTTCACTCCACCCCACTGTGATATACTGTTCCGCATGCCCTTTGTGTCAATCCTCAGCCACGAATTTATTTATTAAATAAATACTTATTGAGCACCTACTTAGTGCCAGACCTTGGCAATGCGAAGTGAGCAAATTAGATCCAGTTCTTGTTCACAGAGGGCTTACAGTCTAGACGGGAAGGACGCTGAACAACTAATGTCCATGTGTGATGAACGACAAGCCCTAATATGGTTCACATCATGCATAGCGATTTTTAAAGAAAACGTTCCATCACCCTTTCTCTTCGTTGTGATTTCCACAGCCACCACCCGTACCGAGGCTATGAATTTTCCTTGTGTTGAAACTAAAGCAAAACCTTCCAATTCTCCCACCTTTCTTTCTACCATCCTGTGTTAATCTTCTATAGAGCATGAATTCTGTAACTGTTCTCTAGCCAAATGGTCTCAAATTGCTGCCCACATACTAGGGACCGTGCTTCTCAAGCCGGAACACATGTATGCATCCTGGAGGCCACTGGGAGGTACAGGAAGCCATAGCGTAAATGCTGCATCTTTTGGGAACGTCAATTTTGCTTGAAATTTTGGGGTTGGGCAGAAATGTAATTACTAAATTTATAAGTAGGTATTTTATGGGAGTAAAACACAAAATTCCCGTGAAATTTTAAGATGGAAAAATAAGACTTCAAAAAAGTCCCCTGAGGTAGGTCAGCACCGCACCCCGGGCCTCTGGCCTGGGCCAGGCACGTGCTGTTTTTTTGTCTTTGCTGATAGGCCAGGGCACCCAGTGCACAGCACGGAGGCTGGGCTTCTGCTGGGCATCTTCCCGCCCTGCGGTCGGGCTCATGGCCTGGCCCTGGAAGCGCTGCACTTGGTGGGAAAGTTTAAAGGCTGGAGACACAGGGGCCAGACTCGGGGTGGACAGCAGGCACCCGACGGACGGACGAAGACATGAATGAATACAGGAACACACAAACTTTTGACTTCGACCTTCAAGGACTGACCCATTTGACCTCTCCTCAGTATTCTTTCATCCAAGCCCAATACTTATTAAGACTCTTTGAAGGGTTCCATGTAAGTTCCTAACTTCAGGCTTTTGCTCATTCTGTGAACACAAGTGACAAATTCTGTGGACCAAAACGCCCTTCTGTCTCCCACCTGACTGAATCCTACTTGGGCTTCTCCACCACGACTGAACCTCTGCCTTCCCGGGGAGGTCTGACCCGAGCGTCCCACCCTCCTCTGAGCGTCCCAGCCTCCAACTGACCCCACCACTCATCTGTTACTACACACACTGCCCTTTTACATAATTTCTGATGCGCTTCACGGGCACCTCTTAGCTCATCCGCCATGTTTTAAGTCTCCCGAGTGTAGCAGGTAAATCTTCCCTTTCTATTGGACCCTTCAGAGTTCTTAATAGTAACAGATATATCACAGGTACAAAGAAATCATGCTGAAGAACTGACCATGGATTTTAGTTCAGATCTCTAGGTTCCAACCGGGAGCAACCCCTGCCGCCGGGGATGTTCCACAGTGATGCCTGGAGACATTTCTGGACATCACAACTTGCCTTTGCTACTCACATCTAGTGGGAAGAGGCCAGAGATTATGCTGAATGTCCTACAGTGCTTAGGGTGGCCCTCTCCCCCAAAGAGCCATGTGCCCCAAATTCAACAGTGCTGTTGTTAGGAAATTCCCGTCTACATTAGAGTATCTTCCTAACTTGTTTTCCTGTCTCAATTCTCCCAGTAAAACCCAACCTCCATCCTTCTGTCTTTTCTCTAAGCAACTTCTTTAAAAACTAATTCTGACAGTTTAGTGACTGTTCACTGACTTTGAGAAAAAATTCAAGTTCTTTACCGTGACCATTACGACCAGGCTCCTACATTCCTCCTGAGCTTTGACTCTTCTCCAAGTCATTCCCTACATGCCAGTCATACAGTCACCCTGCAGTTCCACGAACATCACCTTTCCAAAGGCCTCAGGACCTTTGCACATGCTGAGCCTGTTAGCTGGAACACTATTCCTATTGCTGGCTCAGGTAAGTGAGTACTGCTCAAAGATCAGTACCAGCACACACATCAGCAAATGTTTACTAAGCATCTGTCATGGGCCGAGCACTGTTTTAGACACTGAGGAAACACCTCTGAAGAAAACACACGTCTGTGTCCTCAAGGAGCTCACGATCTGGGTAGGCGTGCTCCAACAGAACCTTCTGCAGTGGCCAAAATGTATTAAGACTGCACTGCCGGGTGTGTAGCTACGAGCCACATGTGGCTATTAATCATTTCAAATGCAGATGATAATCTGGATTGAAATCTGCTACAAGTGTAAAATACACATCATGTTTGGAAGCCTTAGCATGAAAAGAAAGTAAAACATCTCATTAACAATTCTTAATAGTTATTTTCTCTAAGTCCCATGACGAACCCATAAGGTAGAGATTATTATGCCCATTTCACATGTGAGTAAAACTGAGGCTCACAAAGTTCAAGAAAATTTGCAAAAAAATCAGACAGCTAACAAGGGGGGGCCTGGCTTTGACCTTGGTGACATAACTCTGGAATCCACACAAGCATCCCGCACACCCCACGCATCAGCTCCCCCACGAGACACTTCCCACAGCAAGCGAGCAAACAAAAACAATCAGAATGACCCAAATGCCCCCTCCCCTAGCCATTCACCTGCACAGAACATTGTCCTATCACTCCTGTCATGTAGGAATTGACACCTGGGACCGTGGGACAAGCAGCTCTCATTTCTCCTTAACATCTTGGTGGCTGCACATTATTTCACCTGACATGAATCGTCACTGCCCTCCAGGCACCTTCCGCTGGGGAGCAGTTTCTTTTCTAGAAAGCCTCCCTGCCAGCGGTGGGCCCACTCTGCCTACTGCAGCCCTCGCCGTCAGCGCCAGCAGGCCTCACCTGCTCACCTGGGCCTTAGCCCTGGGCTTCCGTGAGCTCAGCCTCTAGTCGGGGCTGCTTTGCTCCATCCACGTCTTGGAGGACGACGTGACCCAAGGACCTCCGAAGGTCTGCACCTTAGCACCCACGCCCCGACGCCTCTCCCTGGCGCCCACCAGGGCCACTGCAACTTCTAGGGCACCGGCTCCCAAGCTGCAGCTTCTCCAACAAGCCACTAAGCACTCCCCCCGGCTGCTGTTCCTTTTTTGTTTTTTTTTTTGAGATATAATGGGTGCATAACATTATATTTGCTTCACGTGTACAACATAATTGATATTTGAATATATTTCAAATGATCACCACAACGTCTAGTTGACATCCATCACACACATAATCACAAGTCTGAGGACTTTTGAGATCTTCTCTCAGCCCCTCTCACACACTCACTACAGCCCTGCTGACCCAGTCACGGACCCCCTGCTGTGCCCGACGCCCTGCTTGTCCCCAGGCTCCCGTGCGGTCCAGCAGGCCTGTTAACTCCCCTGCCGAGGTCTGTCCAGAGCCCATTGCTGCTCTGCCTCCCACACCCTGCCCGTGGCCAGGCCACGCTCCGCTCCTGCCGGACACCGCAGCAATCCCGGGCTCACCTCCTCCTCGGCCCCTCAGGTCCCCTGTGCCCGCCGCAATGATCTTAAAACGCAACTCGGGTCACGTCACAATGTTAGGAGGCGGGACTCACGTCTTACTCATCTCTGCATCCCACAGCCTTAAGCGAACGTTTAGGGACTTGAACACGAGGTTTCATCTTTACGGAAAGAGCAGATGTGCTGCTGACCCCCGAGCCAGGCCAGCGCCTGTAGTTCTTCACTCCCACTGCGTCTGACGCGGGAAACGGGGTCCAAATCCTCCAGGCTCCCCCCTTCTCCTCCCGCTTGCCAGGGGCCGGTGGCCCACCCACCCCACCAACCCTGGGCAGCTTGCCACTCACATTTGGTGTGCCTGTCGCAAAGGGCGGACGCCCTCATGTCACACAGCCGGATTGTCCCCTTGCTGCTGCTGTACACGAATGTGTTGCAGTGATGGGGGTGGAATTCGGCCGCCGTGATCACCTCCGTGAGCTCCTCCATGTTGGCCGGCTTAATGTCAACAATATCTGGCACAGGCGAGTTAAGGAGGGCACAGGACCTCAGGGGTTACTTGGAACGGCACCGCTTTGTTCCGGTGCAACACGCTAGCAGTGACTGCGGTGGGGGTCCTCCCAGCTCTGTGGGCGAACAGGCAGAGGAGGCCCCGGGCTGCCCAGGGGTCCGAGGCAGCACCAGAGCCCAGGCCTCCCTGGCCCCTGCATGCGATTGGAGAACAGGTCTCGCCCCCACTCACAGTCACCTGCTCGGCAATCATGCTGAAAGGGGCTGTGTGCAAAGACTTCTTCTTTCCCCCTTCACAGCACTGGTTAGGAAACTAGTCCCATTCCAACTCAATAATTGAATTTATTTATATCTTTACCCAGACTCCTGAGCTGATAAATGGTATTTACAGTAGACCGTACATCCTCTTCCGTGAAATCCCTGAGATCTTCTTTAATGACATGCTGATGATAATAAGAGCTGCTGCCATCTATTGAGCTCTGACTAGAGGTCGGTCACTGTGCAAAGCCCATCATGGACTTTACCTTGTTTAACCCTTGGAACAGCTCCCGGCTCAGCACTTTTCTTATCCCCCGTTTTGAGGGGTGGACCTGGAGGCTTGACCCCAGTCACATGGCTAGAGGGGCAGTACCAGGATTTTATCCCAGGTGCAAAACTTATGCTCTTTACTAGTTATGCAAGATTTCTCTTCTTGGAGACGTGCAGGAGCTCAGGCCTCCATAAGCTGTGATTTGCTCTAGAATTTGTTGTGGGAGTTGCAGCACTGGGAAGAAGCCCCTCGGCTGGGTGGTGGGACAGTTTTAGCTTCCCACAGAATCTACCCTTCATTTTATCAGCTGTTTTCTCCCTCCGTATTTTCCCTTCTCATCAAGTACTATTATACCTTTATTTTTAAAGGCCACATCCTTGTATAATGAAATTAATCACTTGGCTTTTTATATTGTGAAGGTGACTCATGGAGACAACCCCCTCCGACAGGATGCCTGGCACGCCCGAGGGAGTGGGTTTGTGCTGACCCCTTTATACCCCTCTGAGAGCTCAGGGGCCTGGGTCAGGGTTAGGGAGCCCCTGGCTGGGCCGGAGGGGCTCTTGGAGGACCCAGCCACCTCCTGACAAGGAATAGGCCTTGTCATGCGGATGCCGTTACAAGGGGATGCTGATCAAAGTTATCTCCACTTTTCCTAGACTGCATCCCTTCGAGCCATCTTTGTGATTTTGCCCTACCTGCATACCACCAGGTGGTATTGTTTGACTGAACATTTTTTCTTCAGATCGACTTAAATCGATTCACTCTTTTCCTTACCTAGCCTTGTCTAAACAATAACCCAATATTCATAAAATCATGAGTTTAATGAACTAGTTACATTTTAAACAATATACCTGAAATAAATGCATGACAATTAAAATAATATTTCTGTGCCAGGAGTTCAGGTATCACATTTTGGAAAACACTGCACTGAATCAACAAACAGTAACTGATACAGACTGCACTATCAGACTGGGATGGGCGACTGGCTTCTGCACTTTTCACCAACTTGGTAGCACAGAACCCCAGAGTTTAGATGAGTCACCGGTGAACGCGCCGGTATTTTCAGTCACCAGAACTAGCGAAGTCATGTGCCATCAGACATCCCCTAGGCTCCAGCATGCAGTTAGATGCAAGAATGGGTTTCTACCTGGTGGTGCCTCTTTCCTCTTCAATAATCTTTTGTAAGTCCCGATGGGTTCTTTCTAAAATTAGCTTGAGACTGAACTCACATTTTACTACCATTTCTTCCTCCAAACTCAGATGGAAATTTTACTCGGGTCTGCCGAGTATGTGGGTCCCCTGGATTCATAAAATACTACCTTTCAACTCAACTGCTGCCAGTTATAAATATAAGTGCAGTTAGCGTCGCACGCTGGGGAGCAGGAGCCCGTGCCCCCCAGGAGGCAGCCCTGCTGCGCCTCTGAGGTTCTCTCCAGCCCCCTGCTCCCTGCCCTGGGCTTGGTGGCGGTGACACCGGGTGTGGGGGCCTGCGGTTAGTGTTCAGCCATTGTCAGATTTCATCGCCCTCCAGAAAGAACTCCTATGCCCTCCTGTACCAGGGAGCATGTTTTTCTTTTCCCAAAATAGGGAAAGAAGATCTGGTGTCCGCTTTTTCAAACCTCCAGCAGTGCAGCTCTGAAAACAAGCTTAACTGGGAGGAATCTTCGCTGTGTGGGAGGGGAAGGTGCCACATCTATGGTTATTTTTTTCTCAACTAAAAATAAACCCTGGAAGTCAGAATGTGTGGAAATGGAGTGTTTAAACGTATCTGTGAAACCAGGGATGTTCCGCCACCACCAAGAACACCGACTGGGGAATGTGTCCACCGAGGCTGCTCGGGGCCGCTGCTCTGCACCTGCCCTCCCACCCTCCTCCCTGCTGCCCTCCTGGACCCCCAAGGGGGCTGCTGCCCTGGAACCCCGCCCTCCTCCCCCATCCCCTCCTGGACCGCCAAGGGTGCCGCCCAGCACCTCATCCCCTCACAGCTTCCTTTTGACTAGAGTGCTTGTTTGGGTCTCACTCTATGGGGCCCAGGGGATAATCTGTGTCTCGAAGCCTCTTTTGAATAAGGATGTCAAGGAGGATGACAATAACCAGCAGTTAATGTTTATCAAGTGCCGTGTATTATTTCATTTGACCTTCATTTCAGCCTTACAAGGGCAGTACTCCAGGCAGAGGGGTATCGGCTCATCCCCCAGCAGAGGCGATAGGGACTGAAGTAAGCCAATCCAGGTCAAATGCCTAGTGAGGGGCAGGGCTGGGATTCGGACCCATGTTGGTTCTTGACCACACGCCACTCTCCTCCCGTGGGGGTGGCCGTTGTAGAGCTGGCCTTGCCGAGTAGGGGCATTTGGGTTCCCTCAAAGCCCCCGGCTAACCAAGGGCAGCCCAGTGCCTCTGCCTCAGGCCTGGTTTCTCCCAACGCACTGACTGTATTTTCCAGAACCAGAATTTGGACATAGCACCTGACCAAGGATTTTTGTGTCCATGATGCAATCAGTTTTTTTTTTTTGAACCACAAGTTAGGACAGAAACAAGGGATTCCTTGAATTGTTAACTGATGGATTTGCTGAGTTCTAGGGAGAAAGAGTCTAGTTGACAGAAACTCAGTGGCTTATGTGGATGATGGGAGAGGACATCTCACATCTGTATCACAGAAACCCAGGGCTTCTCCTTTACTTTATTCTAAAGGGAGATACATGCCCTCAGCATATGTGGTTTTGCCCTCCATGTTGGGTGGCAAAGAAAAAGGAGATAAGCGGTGCATGGCTCCCTGTATTATCTTGAAAATGGAATGATGGATTTTGACAGCCAGTTTTCTCTTCCGTATCCTTTAGAGCTCTCCATCCGAATTATTTCCCTGTTGTCCCAAAGAGCCAAATGGCAAAAGCAAACATCACATTGGATTCGTGGCTAATATGCAAGGCAGACAGCCAGACAGCCAACAGATCGCTATTAAATTAACCCTGGGGCTGGACAGACCTGTTCTTCTGACCCCAACTGTTCATGGCATTCCGTATTAACACTAAGCCAGGGCAAATTACCTCTGCTAACAAAAGGGGTTAATCTGCCTCTCTGCTGGGGCTCTGGGGGCAGCTCTGAGGGCAGGAGGGGGCACAGCCAGTTTGGCAGCTGAGCTCCATGCTTAGAAGTAGGAGGGAAGGCGAGGGCACTGCTGTGCCAGGCAGAGCCTACGGCACCATTTAAAATAATAATTGAAGACACTGGGAGGTCGCCCCTTAAGGGACTGGCTTCACACAAATAAGAAGCCGGAGCCATAAATCACATCAGCGGAGGGTTGAAGGAATGGGGAGGGGAGGGGATGGCAGGACGCCAGGGGGCAACAGGGGGGCCATTCACAAGTCACTTCCTTAATCCCAAGTTAAGAAAGAAAAAGCTTTCTACCAAAAAATGTTTGCAGCAAACAAGGTAAGAGAAAAAGAGACGATAACCCATAGATAAAGAAACAGGGAAACGATTGGGGAAATTTTGATCTATCTCATTAAATTGCTCATGCAATGAAATTCTAAGCCTGTTAAAAAACAACAGTATGAAAAATTCTACCTACAGTATAATCATAATGCCATTTAAAACCGACACTCTGAAAACGATGAGTGAAAAGGCAAGATTCTAAATGTCAGTGATAGTTCTGGGTGGGTTTATGTATTTCTTTTTTCTTTTATCAGTTATTTCCACATTTTCTTTTAATGAAGTTTTAGTAGGATGGAAAAAAGATATTCTTTTGTGCTTATTTTACATATATGTATGTGTGTGTATATATATTATATATATTTATATAAATGTATATACATAAGTATATGTATGTATGTGAACACATATATATATGTGTATATATATATATATATACACACACACATTTGGATATATAAATTGTGTGTATTTGTGTATATAATTTTAGATGAGGAAAGATAAATACAAAATATACACAGTCTGACCATAGCCCTGGGAAAAGGAAATGTAGGTATATCTTATAGGAGGATTAGATCCTAAAGTCAGCGTTTTTTTAAGTTACCCTTTGGTAAGCTAGAGTTACCTTTACCGCTCATTCATTCATTTGTTCCTTCATGTATTCCATAAATGCTCACAAAGGATCTGCTAGTACTTTTCTGGGTGCAGGGGACATACCTGGGACCAAAGCAGACCAAACAGTCCCCTGATCCTGAGCCTATATTCTAGCAGGGGACATGGTCACTAAATAAGGCAAATACGTATATAACACATTAGATGCCAGTAACTGCTAAAAAGAAAAATAAAGCAGGGAAGAGAGCCTGTGTATGTGGTGGGTAGGGGCGGGTGTCCTAGACTGAATTGAAAAAGGCTTACTGGATAAATCAAGAGTTAAATCTTTTTTTCCTTTTCTTTTCTTATTTACTTATTTTTCTGAGCCCTTATACTTGAGTTAATATTGTAATGTAAATCCACTTTATATGCACCAAAATTAGGTGGCAAGTTTAA